TAAGTTATTATTTCTTGATACATACGATTTTATGGGCTCTTTCCTCCATCAGAATGCCCAAATTTACACGAACACGCCATACACTATTTGTTTGTCCTTCGTCATCATCCATCGTGGTGGAAGTGGAAGAAGATATTGTATAGAAATCATTGCCGAATGGAAAGCCATTTGGAGCTCGCGACGATGAGAAGAGCCCAAGTTCAGGCTTTCGATAGGCATTTTTGTATTCACAAGTAATAAACCAATGCTTTTCTTGAAGCCAGAAAGGTGTTCGAAAAGAGGAAACAAGTGATTCGATTTCTTTTGAGTCAAAATTAAAACAGAAGAAAGAAAAATCGAATTGACGAAGTAAGGGTAATTTTATTGGAATAAAGTTTTCCCATCGACATAAATGCTGAAGAAATTCGAAGGTAATTGTTTGACTGGTTAGATCAAGATAAAGAAGTGATGGTGTGGCACACAAAATTGATTCAAGTATGTCTATCGGTATCTGAATATTATTAAGTGTTAGAGAAATTATTTGTCTACAAGGATTTGTGATGATACGCTCATCCATTCTGTTTATATAGCAATATCTACTTGATAGACTATGAAGACGAAAAGAATTGCGTAGAATGGAACCTAGTTGTTCGTCGTTACAACCACGGATATTCAATGTTTGAATAGTACAATTAGCAGGCCATGATATTTGATCGATAAGAATCATATTAAAATCCAGCACAAGATTACGAAGAGTAGGCTTTGCAATGATTAAAGAGAGAAGAGAAAGAATATCAGAATTAATTTTTGAATTTTCTGAATAGATCGAAAGTGATTTGAGCGGACAGATTGATGAAATATGTTGCAAGATTATGCTCAGTTGAGATTGTTCGGCATTACATATCGTCAATGAGCGAAGTTGAGTGAATTGGTGAATATCAAAAAGCGACAAAAACAATTCAACATAATTGTTTTCGTTATGCCAACATATGAAGCGAAGTAACGCGACATTTTCTGATCGAATAATTCTCTGAATACGACGAAATTTAACTTTTGACGCTGCCGTGAAGTCGAGCTTGTGTCCATTGTAAGCACTCGTCAGTGCGTAGAAATATGTAGAAACGTGTCGAATAGGAAATACTATTGTTTCGACATCTAAATAGTCGAAAACTCGATAGAGAAGTTCAGTAGGTAAGGCAGAAAGAGACATCGTACGTTCTATATCCAATGATTGTGTGGGTTTTGTGAATATAAATGTTGATTAGTTTGAAACTTGGGTCGTGTGAATTCGCAATTGTGAAATTTGGCTTGTCAACAAAACACGTCATGTCATCGATTATTTGCAATGTTTTTCTATTTCTTTGCATCGAAAATGAAACAAGCACGTGAAATTTTCGTGACTCATTTATTTGAAGAGAAAAAGAACACAACCAAATTCGTCGTTTCTTATTTGACCTGAAAAGAGAAAAAGAAACATAAAGCAAAAAATTGTGACAGGAAAAAAGAGTCGAATAACACAAGATGCATGGTGGTACGATCGAGTTTCCAGCAGATATGTGCGGGTACAGGTGAATATGTAGGTGCAGATCTTCACTTCAACCATACTCACCCTCGACGATAAAAAAAAAGTTCACAACAGAATTTGAAATTCACAAAATGTCACTTAGCTTTGGATGTTGATACAGAGCATCATATTACTTTTTATCAAAATTGTACTTTTCTGATTGAAATCTACGGAATATTAAGTAAAAATAAAATAAAATTATATCTCGAAAATAGTCTCATTAGAATTTGTTACAGTGGTCAGCATTTTTCAGAGTTATTTTATACTATTTGGTAGCCCAAACATTTCTGAGCCTGAGATATCAAACTTTTTTCTTCTAAAGTCTGTCATAAAAGAATATCCTTTTCTCCCAATTCATTAAGTGGCATAATAATACCTAATCGGTCACGTTGAGTTCAATTTTATTTTTCACAGTGCAATAGAGAAAAAAGAAATAAACAATTTTTCTATCAGGAGTGCTGGTCGGAATTGTACCCTAAAAGTGGTAGAAGTTTTACCAATGATCTTCAACTAAAATAGTTGGACTAATCCGAATTACCCCAAATAAATTTCTATGACAGAGGTTTCAATATTATGAATATTTAGTGCGCGACGAAAGTTTTGCCCGCATTGAAATGAATTTTTTATATTATTTTGACAGATGAGAATAAAATGTAGCACATAATATATACAATGGAGCTCGAGACATTTACACAGCGCATTGCAGTTTTCTGACTGTTTGCTTCTTCTTAGATCAAAGCAAAAATATGTGAATACTCCTATTTTTGGATAACTTGTTAAAAGATGAGATGAGTCGTATGAAATGAGACCGATATTTCGAGCTAATGGATTTCTAGCGAACGAATTCCATTTCAAAAGTTCGTGCTCACTGCTCTTGCTATTATATGTTGACGGATCACAGCCGAAACTCTTCCCTCTGTGTGATCACAAATGGATGTATTCCCATACATTTACTTTGCTGTAAGAAGAAGCAAACAGCCAGAAAACTACTTGCGCTGCGTATAAATGTCTCGATCTCCACTGTATATATGGATATGTGCTGCATTTTATTTTCATCCATCAAAATAATATAAAGAATTGATTTCAATGCGTGCGAAACTTTTGTCACGCGCTAATTAAAAAGAAAATTGGTAAAAAAAAAATGAAAGCCCATACGGCAATAGTAGCGATTTTCGAGGATAGATCATCGTTTGAAGTTGACTAGTAATACTTTCTTGATTCTTCAATGTTAATAGAATACTGTGTTTTACCAGAAAATTCTTGTATTTTGATTCATCCTTTATATAATTCATTTTCGAAGGTTTTTGTGAAAGGAAATTTCATATTTGAACAGTAATAATTAACCGGTTTCTCTGATTTTAATTGTCCTATTTCATCTGCTACATAATTTATGATCCTCGATTCACTGTTTGTATCTATTTTTTTATTTAAAACTAATTCTATGAAAATTTTTAATATTTCATAAATTTTAATTGCACTTTCAGCTTTTAATGATTCTAATAAATGATCGATAAACTCGCTAGGTGATAAGCGTATTAAAGGAACTGAAATTGCAAAATATTTTTTTACTACATTTTCAAGTAATGTGTTCAAAGCATTTATGATTACTTGATGATCGGACTGGTTAATTGCTGCAAAATATGGATGATTATTAAATTTTTTTTTTCAAAAAGGCAACCATTTGAATTTTATTAATATTTGAAGCATTTCTTATTTTTCAATACAAATAATCTTCCTTTTGGGCACAGGCAGAAACCAAAGATAAAAAAGATTCACACGTCATCAATGAAAGCCATGTATCATCATAACCTTTAAAATTGCTCACTTTTTTTTTAATAACCATGCTATTAAATTTTCCATCAGAGTGATATTTATTGAAAAATTATTAAACATATTTAATTCTGTTTTGATTTAAGTCACTGGAGAGGTACAAGTTACAGCGATCTATATGTTTGATTTCATTATTACTATTTCGTGAAAGATTCTCAAAAATGACAGATATTTCTCGAATTAATTTTGATTCCATAATTTCGGAATATGTATCATGATTAATGTTTGTTAATGCATAAACATTATCGATCAAAAATTCTATTCTTTCGACATCGGTATAAACGAAGAAAACTCTTTCTTAAAACTAACTTGTGTCTGTAACTAATAGTAATCTTGACAATTCGATCCAATTTTCTTGTTTAATTTGGTCATTCTGTGGTAATATCATCGCTAAGTAAAGTAGATCTTTCACAAATGATGGATTAAGTGACAATTCTAATGTTCGTATTATTGAATTCCAAGTATGATTATTTATGAAATGAATTCTATTTATTTAAAAACTGCATTCCGCGTTCACTAACAGAGGCTTTCTTGTCTAATTAATTTATATGTTCATTTAAGTGTCGAAAAACTCTAGAATCATTCCATAGTAAGTCGTAGAAAAAACTAGAAATGTATGCCAGAATTTGTGAAAGGTGTTCTTTTGCTAGTGCATATTCAAGAATTTTATTAATGTCTTTTCTCCTATTACAGATATTCTCTTACTCAGTTCTTTAACAACTCTTTCTGGATGTTGAAAAATTCGTTGAGCTCTGTATGTCATTTGATCATTATCACTTATTAGTAAATTAACAATTGTATCGATCGCTGGTTCAAAAACGTGCTTTGCTTCTACAAATAGAATAGCTGATAAATTTTTAATTTGACTGTTATTATGCTGAGTAAACCATTTCTGAACAATTAGTAATACTTCATTGGATGATTTTATAATGTAGGGAAAAGTATTGAAATACTATCTTATTTTCCTTTTTGGGACAATTCATCAATAATTATAGCTATTTGTGGAGTCAAAAATATTTCATTATGTAAACCACTATTTAGTATCTTTTCAATATTTGATTGATTATCAGAATCCTTGAAAAGATTAATCTATAATTGATCTATGCTCTCTACTTTATCAATAACTAATTTTATGTCATTCAATTATGCAAATAGTAAAAATAAAGTTTGAAGTTTATTAAAATATGAAATATCTGCAGTTTGTTTGTAATCATCTCTGTTTTCTAAATTTTGACTCATATCTAAATTTAAGTTTAAAGAACGAAGATGGAATGTTTCAGTACATAATATTCTTCCATAGTAAGAATTGACAAAATAATAATGCATTTTATTGTTGAGTCTCTCTGTAATGTCATTCAGCTTAATTTCAAGATCATCATAAATACTAATTGAAGGTTTTAATTTAATAGTTAGTTTAATTTTGTCATCATCTTCATCCACTGTAGTAAGAATTTATAAAGTATTCGTTAAATACTTTTTTCGAAAATTTCCTTGTCCATAAAATGCTAATCTTATCGATGCAATAATTCGATTATAAAGACCATCAATATTGTCAAATGTTAAAATTAACTCGTCGGCTATTTGCTGAATGAATAGTTTGTGTTCTACTTCCTTATAATGAACGATGCTAAAAATCTTTTTCCAAAGCTTGAAACTTTAAAGTTGGTTGTGGAATATTTTTTGTCAACGTAAAAGATTCATTTAATAGCTTATAATTCTCTAAACAAATGAAAAATGGTATTGGCATATCATTATTATTATTTGATTTAAAAGTAAATATGTCTGTAGCCCATGGATATGCTCGAAGCGGTCTATAATGATGAATTGCATCACTGATTTTTAGAAATAATTTCATTATATGATCAGTTTTGCTTGAAGTAATGCGCACGTCCAATAATGTAGTGATGTTATATCGGAAATCATCATCAATATCAGTGAATTTAAAGGCAAAATAGTCTGCATATAAACTATATGTATCTTCAACATTATCTATAGCTTCAGCTAATGTCTTAGTATCAATTGGTAATCCTCGAGCTTTGGCTATTAATGATAAATATAGTGTACAATAATTCAAAAAATTTACAGTATATTTGCTCGGATTCACATTCATATAATTATAAATTTCAAGTAAATATTGACCAATATCTGAGGACTATCTGGCTATTGGATCTCTCAAAACATCAATAAGTTGTGCTATTCTGGTTCTGAAGCTTTTTACAAACATTTCGTCTCTTTCATTTATAACCATGCGATTACTGCTTCTGTATTTTCACTTATATTGAAATTTTTATTGTTTATCTATTTTCGCAATTCTTCTGCTAATTCTGTTGCAGATTTTTTTTTCTTCGTAGAGCAGTTCGAGAATTTTATTTGTCAGACATGATTCTTTATAGATTTTGTTCTTATTAAATATTGGTTTTAACTTCCAATGGTCTTTAGTCGCAAAGGTATCAAGATGCACAGCCATGTTGTAGGCTGCGTCATCTCTATCCCAAATTTCTTGATGATAAAAAATAAATGGTGCCCTTTCATTATCACCTAATCCAAAAAATTGACAGATTTCATAATATTCTGTTGTTGTTGTTTTTAAAAGTATTATAATTTTTATATCCTCCATAAAGAGCTGTAATTAGACATAGCGAAGCATTACGGCTTTCAATATAGGTGGTCACTTCTGGATGGGTGTGGGTGTAAGAATGAGTGTGGGATGTAATTTCATTCTGCATACGCCAGAACATCCACACACTCGAGTTAAAAAAGACTACACATATTCATGTCAAAAGAAAGCTCTCACCGCCAAACAAACAAATTTAAAATATTAGCAGTTCTTGTCGTGCACTGACCGAGATATTCAAACTTTAAGCTATTTACAGTCTATGAAGGATGCCTATAATCCAGAGTTTTAGAAAAATTTTTCTTTCTTTTTTTCTTGATCGTTGGATAGAGCTTCTCGAATCTCATTAGAGAATGTGATCTATATTTTAGAAAAAAGGATTTAAAAATAAGTTAATGAAGATTAGAATTCTGGCTCCGTTTTCCTTTTTATTCGGAAATAATGGTTGCTTGGACTTTTTATATGATGAAATTCTAAAAATCTCTTCTTCAAATATGAAACACATTTTTTTTATGCAACTAGACGAGCTCTATATGCAACGATCAAGAAAAAAGAAGAAAACGTTCTGTTGAAATTTTGAATTGTGAACATACTACATAGACTGTAAATGCTTTAAAGTTTGAATATCTCCGTTAATGCACGCCAATGGCCACTAATATTTTAAATTTGCTAGTTTGACGGTGAAAGCTTTCTCTTGACCTGAATATGTGTAGTCTTTTTAACTAACAACACAAACAGGGTAAGCGTGGGTGTACATGTGTGAAGAGAGCAAGCATACCCACATCTATATCCTTCAGATTTCTTGTGGTGATAGTCTAGGTAGTAGGGTATTAACTCAAACGATAAAAGCAAGCCCAAAAGAAAAACAAGAGTCAACGGGATCGGGAGCATTTGTGAAATGATTTATTATGTTAACCATGGTTTTGCGAATTTTGTCTGTTTTACAGTTTGGCATATCGCGATATTAGCAAATATGTAGTTCAAATCAAAAGCTATGTTTAAGACTCAAACCAGCTATTATTATCGTCTCAGAGTTTAGAAGAACTTAATTCTATGTTAATTTACAACTGCACAACAATAGTATTCTTGACCTTAATTCAATTATAAGGCATCTTTGAATTTCTCGTATGGTGCATATTGGATTCAAAACACAAACATTTTATATTACAAACATTATCTGAGTATAATAGATAAGGTGACTTTCTATTTATTGATGCATAATTCTGTTGTAAGAAATGTTCAAGTTAAAAAGAAGATAATTAAGCAAAGATAAGAATACGAATAATCATTGACAAAATAGAAAAAAGAAATAAATGTTTATGGCTGCTGCTGCTTAATGACGACGAACTTTTGTGAGCAAATATATAATGAGCTGTATAGTTTGCGTTGTAGTGAGAACCATTCGTTCCCATAGTACATTTTTCTGTGACTGGCACTACTCCATTGACGATATCTAATCGTTGAATGTATGTAACATCTTTAAAGGTTAGTCCAATATTTTCTTCATCAGTCAGCGTTTGAAATAATACCTTAGGTAGAGCTTGGCCTGGCTTATTATCATTTGTCTTTATGGGTGTTCCATGGAGTTTATCTGTTATGGAATCACAAGTTGTCGGCTGGCAGTTCGTACCCAAAATCCATATTGCAGTATTGATAGTGAAGTTTTGTGTAAGCGTATGTTGATGATTTCCAACAATGGGATCTACTTCAGGATTTAAGTCTGGTGCATTGTATCGACGTAAAACAGCTACTGGATGATCTAGAAACCAATGCCAGGTTTCACTAGAGTCCATCGTACAAATGTAATTTTGATATCCTGATGCATAGACACGATAAAACTGAACGTGACCTGACGGTAACTCGACACCAGTAGTTTCTTCTGGAAATGTTTCTCCCGATATAAAAACAACATTGATCAAGAATAAAAGCGCAGCGCAGTAGTTGGTTATCATGATGCTGACTTCGTTTTTTTAGTAAGAAAGAACGTATATTCAGGATGGGCCATAAATATCTTTACCATTTTTATCTTAGATGATAACAAAAAGATATTGCAACAAGCTTTGCTGCATATATCAAAATGATACACATAGATCGAAGTTTTAGAACTAAAGTGAACAGAAAAGTTTAAGACATTCTTTGTTTTTTTTCTCTAAATAGACACAAGGTAATACATACAATGAGTACCAAAATTATTCAATAGGGTTTATTTTCAACTATTTTCCACTAACTTAAGTGCCAGAAAGAATCCAAATAGTGATTCGGTAGGGAAATTGTTTTCAGTAAGAATATAAGGAAATTAAATGATCATCAGATCCTTGATAGATCCACACCCACATCTACCTTTTCATAGACAACGTAAAATTTATTACAACACTAATGTTAACATAATAAAACTCTGTCATTAAAAACCTATCAAGTTCTTTGCTATGTTTTTTAATTTTCTGCTTTCAACTTTATGTTTCACGACTAGTCAAATATTTCCTGTCTGACTTAGACCAAGCGGTTGACTGATCGCTCCATTATTTGGCGTGTATTGTCATTAATAAATTGTTTATCAATATTACTAGTGTATTTTAGGTTATGATCTTGCTGAAAATCTACTTTTGGCAAAATTTCATTGAACAAAAAAAAATGAATATATGGTTAAAGAATATAACATCTCTTCACATTTTCGATATATTTTCATTTATTTCATTTAGTATTGTCTTATTATTACGACGAGTATATTGATGAATAATTCTTTTTTCTTTGACACTGACGGCGAATTATCGATCATTTCTCCTTCCATACTCAACCAAATTTATTTGTTTTAACTTTTTGATATTATGAATAGAAGGTCTTCATGAGAGTTCTCGTTACACGTTTCACAATGCCAGCTGGCCTCACGATTTTGCTTCAATAATGTAACATTTGATATATAACAGTTTTTTTTTTAAAAGAGAACCGTGTGGTATTTTTTATTTCTATAGATCCAAATCAAGAACAGTCACACTTTCATAAGCTCATCTCTTTGCCCAGCTGTCAGAGAATTGTCACGAAAGAAATGATGTCACTTATTGTTCCACATAACATAAAAATTAGAAAAACAATTCCTACTCTTATGTAAGTTTTTTTTTGCAAACAGCTGTATATTTTTGAGGCCTGGAGGATACGGTATTTGTTTAACTCGTAACCTACCCTATACAAATTTCGGTAACCTGATCCTGCCATATTCTGAAAAAAATCTGCCTTAATCTCCTGTGCCCCAAAACTACAGGACTTATCTTCTATAATGTAATGCAAGGACTGACAATGAGTCACTAGAAAATTAAGATATAGTAAAATTTCTCTAAGTGAATCCTATTCGAAGTGAGTATACATGTATTGAGGACACTACGAGGTCCGACGAAATAATTTTGACTAGAAAAACATCGCTGAACTGTGTTCCCGCCTTACTAGAGACCATAGACACTTTTGGTCGGCTCATATTGCATAGATTAATCTATGGTTTTATTTATCCGTCCTAATCATAAGCCATAGTAATTTTCAGTGTTACACCGGCCGATGCACTAGTTTGTGCCCATAGATTTGTTGACTTTGCGATCATTCTATGTACGACCATTATCGATCCCATTCTTTACTCGTTCTACTATTTTTTATAAGTGTAAACTACACTTGAAATCACTTTTCAATTCAGATAAGTCAGCTTTCTGGAAAAGTAGTGTGAAAATCTTTCTGGCTGTCATATTAGTAGATATGCGCTACTACCAGTTTTTAACTGGTTGACTGATACCAGTCCGATTCGGTATCTACTTAACTGATATATAATTTATTTAGGTGTGCACCAAATTTAACTTTGACTGGTCGACTGGAGACATATTTAGTGCTCTTGTACTGATCTCTACTGACCCTTGTTTTATGACTACTAATTATCATTTATGTTACGTATACATAAGATCCAGCTTTTAACTGGTAAACTGCTACTCATTCGGTCTCGATATCCAGTCGAGCTGGTATCCAGTTCGATGGGACTGGTGCATGCCTACATATTAGCTACTCGTCAACGTCAATTGCACTTCTGTCTTGTTTCATACAGAAATGTTTTCAATATGAGTACTAAGTTCGCAAGAGACATTAGGTCCGAAAAGGGTGTGGGGTGTGGATGGGTGGGGATGGAGTAGGGATTCAGATCTTTCCTTCAAGCACGCCTACATCCATACGCACACGTACATCCCCACCCTCACCTCCGCATCCGCATTCACCCATACTCACTCTCCATAGTTCAATAACTGCTATTAATTCATTAGCAAACTATCGAAGTCAAACACGTTTGTTAATGATTATTTATCATTGTGAACATAATTATCATTTAGCGCATACTAATTTACATATAAGTATATTTAATGGAAAAAATTTATCATATCAAACGAATAAATCATTTTGATTTACTTCAGAAAATTATTTAATTATATTTGAAACTTTCTTTAATGAAAAACCGAAGACAATATTTAATAAATTTTGAATTAATTAGTAATAATGCTAGTAGGAAAAGAATGAAATTTGACACAAAAATTCTTCAAAGTAAAATCGTAAAAGTGCTTCGTACGATACTTACAAAGAAACATTTCCAAGTGTCATTTCACTTTTGACTTGGGAATCAGTACATCTTATAGATCTTAATAAACTATGCCTTCCAGAAAAAGCACTTCATGTTTATGATCTGTTTCTGAGAAGATATATCGAACATTTTTAGTGAACTTTTATTGTAGGACCCCACTTTTGCAGTAAGATCATATATTTTCGAATTTCTATATGAAATTTTGCCCAGCTAAAGGTCTTAACTAGACAAGCTTGCATAAAAAATTACAAAATTTTTGAACCGAGTCTTTCAGAGATTTGAAACTTGCAAAAACTACATGTTGTATAAATTATGTATGCAAAAGAGTTTATATCGTGAAAGTTCCATATCTTGGAAAGATTTAGTTCACAAATTTTGAAATTTTTTATGGAAGCTTGTCTAGTTAAGGTCTTTAACTGAGAAAAATTTCAGATACAAATTTGAAAATATGGTGTTTCTGAAAAAAGTAGAGTGCTTCAGTGAAAATTCACTAAAAATGTTTGATTTCTCCTCAGAAGCACACCATAAAACATGAACTGTTTTGGGGTTGGATTGACATAGTTTATTAAGACCTATACGATGCACTAAGTCCCGAATGAAAAGTGTATTGACATTTGGAAATGTTGCCTCGTTCGATGCCCCATCTTAATCTAAATAAATATTTTGAGCCTTTAACATTCCTCTAGAAGTATGAAAATATTGTTCGTAGAACGTTAATTACTATGCTTTGCTCGTTATTAAGATAAGGAGGACAACAATCAATTGCATGATTTTTTAAGTTTCATGATTTGTGGTATTCTTTAACTGCGATATTTAGTGTATCTTTCGACTAATGGCATAAGTGCGAATATTAATGTTTCATAGTAATATCATGATAAGCAGACTGAAATATTTGATAATGAAAATTAATCACGAGCCGAAATAGACGATCATCAGAAACGTAAAAGAGTTCTTATATATCATAATGATTTAAGTAGCAATTCTTTGGTTAATAACATTTAATGTCGAGAAAATTTAACTTCGATTCGAAAGTCTTGTAATCAATTATTTTCTTCTCGAATTAAAATCATGATTATTAATTGTTTAACGTATCAGGAAATATGTTCACAAAAATATTTCTTGAAACCGGACTCAAAGAACAAGAAGATTAAACAGTCATACGTATTATAGTAAAAACTTCCAGATGTAAATTTTGAGATTTTTTTAATGATGACGAAAACGATGAAATACGAAACAATTTTTCAAAAACAAAAATCCCGAAGACTAATAGCTAATTTTTTTGGATTTTTTAAATCTATTTTCAAGTTTTTTCAAAATCATATGCATCGAATGAATGTTGAATAATAAAATCTTTTGTTTGCTTTTTATTATATACTTTAATTATATTGGATCTTATGGTTGTCCAGTGAAAAGATAAAAAAAGAACAAAAAGTGCATGATGCAGAGTTAACAGAAGAGAGCGAGTACATGAAAAACATTACAAGATCAAACATAATATAGTTCCTATTACGTACATAAAAAGCAAATACGGAACAATAAAATAATTGAAAGCTATACCAAAACCCAAAAACATGAACAGATCATTCAGGATGTGTGTGTAGCTGTGAACACCGGTATTAGTTTTCTTTCCTTTCAAACCTAAACCCCGTAGCCACACCACCACTCATCCTCAACTGCCCTTACCCACCTTCACCTACTTTCACCTGCATCTAATCACACTCACACACACATGGACACGCACACCCACTCATATCACTATCGAGGACATTCCACCAACTGATAAACCGCTTTTGAGCTGAGACTATCTGCATCATATAGACCTTGATAAGCTTTGAATACCCTGAAAAGAGTTCATGCCAATAGCTTATTACTGCAAAGATACTGTATTTTTGTGATATTCTTTATGTCAATACCGTTGTCTCCCTCAGGAACATAAAGAAAGCTCTTTTTCGAATGTCAGCCTGAAATTTTGCATAGAGACAGGTCTTAATGAGAACAGTTTATTGTGAAAGTTTCAGCTCTATTGATTTGCTCCTATCCTGAATTAAGAACATAGAATCTGCCTATATATATGAGCAATGTGAACTACAAGCTTGTATCAGCTTACGATAGCAACAACAAAAAGATCTGAAACTTTCGCAAAATATGTTCTCCTCGAGTTCCGTCACTATGGAAAGTTTTTAGTCGCCATTTGAAAATTAATTTTCCTTGTGTTCCTGGGGAAATCTAACAAATCGACTTAAAAAAATGTCGTAAAAATGCAGTATGTCGGCACCAATAAGATAAGAGTACGAACTCTTTTCAGAGTATTCATAGCTCATTAGGATCTACATGATGCACATAGTTTCGGCTTAAAAACGATTTATCAGCTGGTGGACTTCCCTCATGAGATGATTGTTCAATACAGTTCTACTTGTTTGCTTGCACTGTATTATGTCTAAACACGAGTAACCAGATTAAAATCTGGTAGCAATAATATTTGGTGATGGTGGTGTTTCGACAAAGGTCAATCGATGCGGTCCCGCGAACTGTTTTCCAGCTACAAATATCCAGTAAATGCCAGCCAATAGACATACTACTGAGCACACTACAATAGTCCAGTTAAAGTTTTCAGCCGTTATCGGATAATTATATGGAAATGCTAAGATTAGACATGTTACAAACAACCACATTGTACTCAATAATCCACTGATAAAACTGAATTTGCCCAGATTGAAATGTCCCTTCGGAAATGTTCTTCTTGATGATGTTATACGAAATAGAATTGGTAACATGTACGAAAATTGAAAACCAATATTTGATATTGAAATAATAGCAGCAAAGGCTGTCGTCGAGACAAGTTGCAACAATAACAATAATATATTGATTACACACACTAAAAATACACAAGGTAGTGGTGTGTGAGTTCGTTGATAAACTATAGATAAGTATTTCGAATAAGGAAACAAATTGTCTCGAGCCATTGCATAGCCGATTCGTGATGAAACAGTTGTCGCTGACACTCCAGCGAAATATAAACATATTATCAATAAAATAGTGAATAGCAGTGCAACAGAAGATGGAGTACTTATTTGATAGATTTGCACTGTGACACTAGGATTTAATGGTTTTTTAATGAGATCCAAAGGATCACCCGCAGCAAACATCAACGATAAGAGATAGGCAAAGCCAATCACAGCAGCGCAAGCACATGTACCAATAATGGCTAATGGAGCTTTTCTGGAAGCGTCGCGTGTTTCTTCGGAGAGCTGTCCGGCTGCATCAAACCCACTAAAACTAAAAAGTGTCGGTGATATCCCAATTAAACAGACATAGGGAAAACTAAATCCAGTTTGATTAATTGTCGAGAAGAATACAGTATATGCAGATGTTCGTGATTTTGCCATAACTAAGAGGGTTATGATGATTGCTATTGTACTAGACATTTGAATGAATGCTGCCAAATTATTTAACCAACCTGTGTAGATAAAAATAAAAGATATAGATCCTTTTTGTATATTAGAATTACTCTCGAGTGTTGAAGTCGAATTAACGGGTGGGCCAAAAATAATTGTAGTGCTAGTATTTTCAATTTTTTCCTCTTTCTCTTACTTAATCCAGCCAATTTTATTTCTGATAGATTCACCGCTCGATTCTCTACAAAGAATGGGTTGATTGTTGTATTGCGAAATCCAAAGGTAAAAATGGTCTAAGAAGATGTACGAAGTAGGACAAATGCAGAAAAAATAATGTATTTTCTCATACAGATCTATTTTTTGTGAAAATCCCTATGAAAATAACACGTGATGCAAAAGTCTTGGAGAAATTGTCAAGCTATTTTTTGGGTGACCCGGCATGTGTTTAACTGAATATATTGAGATCAAGTGCTAGCTCGTTCTTTTCGGTTTCAAAATGATACACGACTAATTGTCTTTACTGTTCATAACAAAAATGAAACTTAACGAACAAAGAGCACTTGCACAACGTATTTGCAACTTCTATCATGATTCTTCTAATAGTTCTGTAAAAAATGCAGTAGATTATTTTAGAAAACAAAATATCCGACAAAGAATCATATATTATACCATAAACAATTATTTAAAATATGGAATTATGAACGATCAGTCTTGAAGTAGTCGTCTGATGTAATTATCCAATAAAACTCTGAAAGGCATTATCAAGTCTGTAAACAATCGATGTAGTCTTAGCCAACGTAAAATTGCACGGCTTTTTCAAGTATACCAATCAACCATTTCATGAAATCCTCGAAAAAATATTGATCCTTATCAGAAAATGGCGAAGGGCACCGAAATTTGACAAGAAAGTTCAAGAAAAACGAGCAAGAAAAAAACGTGGAAGATTGTATCACATATTATTGAATGGTTGTCATCTGATTTTGGATGGTGAAAAATGTCTCACATTGAGTGGAATAACGTCAGTGGCAATCGTTGTTTTATTTTACTGATGCGGCTTCAGCTCCTCCAAGTACTATGTTTTAAAAGAAGAGACACATTGAACCAAAGCTGATAATCTGGATCGTCATATCCTCCAAAGATGTTTCTAATGTGTATATCCACAGAAGCAAGCAAACTGTTCGTCAAGTCACATATCGCGATGATCTTATCAACAAAATACTTCTTCGTTTTATCGAAAAGTGTTATCACGCCGAGATTTACAGTCCTGAACAAAAGAAACCGCCCCCTCTAAACTGGTCTTATTTCTTATGATATGGGGCTGATATTTTGGATGTAGATTGATCTTAGTGATCCCTGATCGCAAGCACCAACCTGACCTTAATCGGTTGATATAGATTGAAGTTATCAGGTCAATAATATCATCATATTGTTAAAGTCATATCTCGATCATTTGTTGACCTTTGCATTCACGTAACTCCTCATTTGTGAGCCCACTAGTGTGGTTATCTGCATTCAAANAAGAATTTTTATAGATGTGATACGAATAAATTCTGAAATACGATTCTTTAGCCAGAGATCGAAATCTGAAAAACTAAAATCACTGGAGCCGAGACCAATAGAAAAGAAGTTACCGAAAACAGAACCAAAAAAAAGCTTGGTCCGACATATTTCTGGTTCAGCGTCACAGTTCGTTAGTTAGATGATCATTCTTGGAGTTTGTCAACTATTATAAAAAAAATAGTCGATTGAAGAGTATTTAATTCAATATAAATATTTCATTTAGAGATTTAGTTAGTAATTGTTAATCGAATTTTCTTTTCAAAATATTGGTTATCTATTTTAAATATCATTTTTTTCATTGCTCTATGCATTTCCTGATTATTTTGTGATTCCTAGTAATACTATGGATACACAATATAATCAGGCTAAATATCAAATTAATAATTTGATACGAATGTCGTTTGAAAAAACTCATGAAGTATCTGTATAAATTGGTCAAAATGAAAAGCTGAGTTCACCATTTGTTACTTTGTTTACACAAGGAATTTATCAAGATAAATAATTTCCTATGACTTTTCTTTTATCAACGTTTGTCATAATACAATCGAAAATTATTTCTAAAAACAAGACATATAATAATAAATCAATCTCATGAATGTTATCGACTGGCACAAAATACGAACAATATCATACTGTTTGATTAATTTCAACTGATAATGTTCATTAAAAATCATATTAATAAATTTATGAGTTTTTGTTTTCAGTTTTAAACGATAATATCAAATAGGATTTGCTTATTCAAAAACATCTTTTATCTAAACTACAGTTTTCTTTAAAGAAAAGTTGAAGATTATCTTTTTATTGATTCTAAATATGAGTAATGATCATTTTATTTCAAATAGATTTGTAATTTGGCATTATATTACACTTTAATTTTAAAATCTAAATGTATTGTAGAGGAGAAGGAATGGTTAGTAACACAATGATTCGACTCCATTGGATGCCAGATCTAAGTCATTGAATCTCGATGTACACATGTTTTTAAAGCTTACACCAACAATAAATTCTAATGGTGCAATCGATCAATTTTCATCTCTTCAAGAATTTATTGTGCATCAACTAGATTTTTCACTCGATGATGACAATTTAACGATTATTGTTCGATTGAATATATTATCGTCGTTACAAAATATTCCTATTCAACAATATCAAATTTTGAGCTCTCAAATCAATAAATGAAAATTATTTTCTTTCAGTGGTGTAATCAGAAATTTTTAAGTCATGGGTCATTTCCCAGCAAAGTTATTTTGAGAAGTAAGCAGCATTGGACAATTAAAAATCAACTCGACCACAGTAGTTTTAAAACTTATTTTCATAGCAAAAATAGATTGTTATTGAAAAGAAGTTTGTTACTCTCAACTAACAGTTGCGCTCGTTTTCTTTTTTGGACTGCTTGTTTCAGAAATGTAGTCTTCGGTTTTCAAATATTCGAATATATTACGTCACAAAGTATAAATAAGCACAAATAGAGTCACTAGAGAATTCAAATGAAATAATTGGCATTTAAAAAAAATAACATTGAATAGCTATCATTGTGAGCATCAGTTTAATAAAAAAATATAGTTTGTTGATTTTTGTGGATCACTTGATTAGATCACAAGAAGATAATTATAATGCATTAAAGTGACAAAAATTAAGTTTTTATACACTTTTGTGTATCAAGATTTTTCGGCATGGGGCAATTTGTATAATTTCACAAACACCCATGGATAAATACTTTTGAATTTTCGGGTAATTGCCCAATCGTCATACCTCGGACTACGCCACTGTTTTTTTCTGATTACTTCTGAAATTTGTTATAATATGCCTAAATTAGAGATATTGATAAATGAATTTGCAAATTCAAAAACATTACCCAACCCTACCAATATAAGAAGAACCTGCTGATGCTGCAAACGAAAAGTGTCAATTCTAATGTATCTTTATTTCTGATAGTTTTGTTCGAACTTGGCGTGGAAAATAATTGAATAATTCATATCCTAATATTCTTTTTCTGTAATTTTTATCAAAAAAATTCCATTGTAGATTTCAAATCTCTTTGCCATTACTTTTATGAATGTAATCATTCTTAAATGTTCCATGAAATAATCACGAAAGATCAAATAACTAATTCCCATGTAACCAACAAATGCATTTTAGACGCAGAGGTGTGGATATGGGTTGTCGGTGTCTATTTTTGTGCTGATTTTCCCTTTACTTCAATCCACACTCACATGAACCCAAACCCACACTCTGTGTGCACTTCTAAGTAGCACATGGTGAGGCACGAGAAAGGAGTGAAGTAAAAAAGAGCATGCCTAATGATCATTGTAAAGAGCACGACTTATCTTCATTGTAAAGAGTAGCCCTTATCATTATTGTAAAGAGAACGAAACAAAAAACCAACTGCGCACAATCAACAATAATAACTTCATTTCGTTTGCATTCACATGATAGGATGGTTCTTGTTTTTATCGGTGTCATTATCATTGTATGTCTTCTCTTTAAGCTCCTCAATACTACAGACATTCCCCATATATATGGCCTTCCAGAAGCTCCAGGATGGCCTATATTTGGAAGTTTGTTTGAATTAGGAGACAATCATTCCAAGGCTCTTTTACATATGGCTAAGAAACTTGGTCCTGTTTTTCAAATTCGCATGGGAAACAGGCGGATTGTGGTAGCAAATTCATACGATTCCATCAAGGAGTTCTGGATCAAGAATCAAGGTGCACTTAGCAGTAGACCTGCATTATATACATTCCACACTGTTGTTAGCAGCAGTCAAGGATTGTCGATAGGTACTTCTCCTTGGGATGACTCATGCAAAAAGCGTCGCAAAGCAGCAGCAACAGCACTGAACAAGCCTGCCGTACAATCGTACATGCCAATAATCGATCTTGAATCATACACAGCCATTAATGAAATATTAAGAGAATGCGAAGATGGAAGAGCAGACATTAATATCATTCCTCATCTTCAGCGATTCGCTCTTAATACTTCTCTCACCCTCAATTATGGTACTCGTATCTCTACTTCATCCAATGAACTTCTCAAAGAAATTGTTGAAGTTGAAGGAGCAGTCGCACGATTCCGATCCGCATCCAATAACTGGCAAGATTACATCCCTCTTCTTCGACTTTTGCCTGCCAGATCCAACGCGGCTAACTCTGTCCGCCTTCGTCGTGATCGTTATCTTGGAAATCTTTTAGACAACTTGAAAAAAGAAATCGCCAATGGCACTGACAAACCATGCATTACTGGCAACATTCTTAAAGATCCTACAGCGAAACTTAATGAAGCTGAAATCAAGAGCATTTGTTTAACCATGATCAGTGCTGCTCTTGAGACGGTCCCAACAAATATCATTCTTGGCATCGGGTATCTTTCATCACCACACGGCCAGGAGATTCAAGAGCGAGCGTACAGAGAAATTCAAGATGTTTATCCTAATGATGACGCGTGGGATAACTGTTTAACAGAAGAAAAAGTCCCATATGTCACTGCTCTTTACAAGGAAATTCTTCGTTACTACACCGTTCACCATATGAGTCTTCCCCGACGAAGCATCCAAGACATTAACTACAACGAAGCTACTATTCCGGCTGGAACTTCATTTTACATGAACGCGTTCGCTGGTGATTATGACGAAAATCACTTTGAAGATCCTTATACCTTCAATCCAGAGCGATACCTTGGCGATGTTGATGGCACGCCTCACTACGCTTACGGAGCGGGAAGCAGAATGTGCATAGGAGCTCATCTAGCGAATCGAGAACTCTTTACTTTTTTTATTCGACTTATTGTCGCATTTCGAATTCTTGAACCTCTAAACAAGGAATATGCACCAGTACTGGATGGAATGGAAGTTAATGCTTGCCCTACGGCTCTTGTAGTTCAGCCTAAGATGTTCAAATGCCGTTTCGAGCCTAGGAAGAGAGAGGATCTTAATCTTTGGCTAGACAGCAGCAGAAAACGAGCAGAGAACTACTAGTGTTGATAGGTGAGATTAATTAAGCAAAGGTTTAAGAGCTACGTCTACTAATAAATTTTGCAAGATACCGATTCCTTGAAGAAACTCAAACATTACACAAAATCCATGCTTAGTTCACACACACACAATAGAAAAGTATTGGATCATCTGGCCATAGGCTCTTCATATTCACTTTAACACTAGATAGCTTGATTTCGATTTTACAAGCCAATATTTATAGCTGTAGAAGAAATTTAGGGTTAACCGCCAATTCAATAAAAATGATACACGTAGTAATCATAGATATCAGTGCATGTAAAATCGAGAGGTAGATTGTCCGATACTTTTCGTTCTATGTATATATCTTACTGTTAACATATTTTTAAGCTTTAGTTTATGGTCGTAGACTCTCACACTAGTTTGTTTTTCTCAGGATTAGCTTTCCTAAGAAAGACAACAACTACTAAACAAATATTCTGCTATATGTATATGTACCGTTTTTCCATCATCAGCTGATTACTGATTATGTTTTTTGCATGTATAATTGCACGATTTTTCTTGCATTTCGTTTAATAAAATCCTATTTTTTACAATATATATGCCATTTATCAATTTTCACAATCATACTAAGGTGGTGAATGAAATGTTGACTATGAGAGAAATAGTGAACATGACGATGAGCAAATAATTTGACGAAGATGTCAATCACGATATCTGGTGCCAGATACAGAAATCGTGCTCAATAGAATCAATCTAATTTGTCCTCGAATTAGTATTTTATACTTAAAAGTCAAAAAAACTTGCATGTGTGGGCACCGTTTAAGAGAAATGCACGAGTTAAGGAAAAACATGGACCTTATGATGGAGGCACGAATGAAGTAATATAATTGGCTGCAAATTTTTCAAATAAAAATGATTTTAGTGAGTGATGATTCACATTGAAATAGACAAGGTATCTATATCTAAGCGTGAAAATAGTTTTGATCACCAAAAAAGTATATTTTTAATCACCGAATTTTTCTAGTATTCATTTCTCAAAGAACAGCCTAGATATGAAATATTCTTTTTTTCAATGACTCCATCAACACTTATGCATTTCCACCCTCAAGACTTTCGATTTCCGGCATCTATATATTTCATCAATAGTTCTAAACGATTTCAGAACACTATGACAAAGTTTTTGTTATAAGACAAATATTTCAATAAAATCAAGCAGAGATTTGGTAAAAAAATCAATAAAAAAAAAATTTTGTCGCAATCCTATGCAGTTTTAAATTATTTTCTCACTTCTCTTTTTAATCATTTTCTTTTATATTTTATTATTAATTTTAAGCTATTAGAAGAACTTTGACGATTTTAGTGTGAATCATCGCTAACTAATGATTTCTACTTGAAACATGTTTAGCCAACCCTATTACTCCATTCGTGCCCCCATCATGGCGTCCAAGTTTTCCCTTAACACGTGGATGTCTCTTAAACGGTGCCCACAAAGTAAGTGCTGATCTTTTTGATCTTTTTTCCACGAAAGCCTTCAAAATACGAGACAGAAATTGAGCATATTACGGACTGAATATCTCTCGAATGATGTGAGCGAAGGAGCTGAAATTTTGTATGTGTACATACATATGCCTATGACTTTCACGTGCGATCAGTTTCAGATGAATCGGTTGAATCCTTTCTAGTGTATGGATTTCGAATGAATAGGCAAAATTACGATTTTGGACAACTTTGAGAATTCGTATCTCGGGATTAGTAAGAGATAGAGGTCTGAAGTTTTTAACGTAAATAGATCTCATAAAAATCGATAAACCCTGTTTTCAGTTAAGTGTATCTACCGAAATATTAAATCGTTTGAGAGTTGATATTTAACATTTCGAAGTTACATTCTATGGTTCACGACCTTATAAAAAATCAGTCTGAGGTCTCTAGAGACGATTTAGAAAAAGAGCCGCCTTTGCGAGCCGCAACAAGATGGTTTTGGACGTAGGTAATTCGGCAGGTGAAACTTCAATGTATAAGTGAATATTGTCTTGATCATTCTATCTAAGTTAGTTTTCATGAGAAACATGCAAGATATGCTCAAAAGGGTCTGAAAGCATGTAGCCCCTCATTGTTATCGAGAAAATGTGATGTTACAACTCATTATTTATATGTAATTCATTTTGGAGCACGCCAGAGACATCATTGCAGTAATATTCATCAACAAGATCAACACATGACTAGTGATTTTTGGCTCCAAAACCTTGGATTTTCAGGGTCCAAAAAGAAGTCGATTACCGATTTGGAGGTCGTGACATGACGCATCTGAAAGAGCATTCTTAAAAACGCATATTCCAGTTGTTTTTGGGTGTGGATGTGCATGAAGAGAAGATCTATGCCCACACCTACATCGAACACATGTCGGCATCCATTTGGTACCGCCACACACTGTGAGAGACATATCCGTAACGTGTTTTGATCTGACAACAGACTGTGACTAACAAATTGGCATGGTATGATCTTTCGCTTTGTTGCGGACTGCAATAGGCATGGCTAGATCTCTTTATTATGATAGAAGTGCCTTCGTTGTGTGTCACATTTTAATTTCGTAAGAATTTTAACAAATGCTTTGTTGTTTTATGTTTTCTTCAAAGTTTCTCGAGTCAAATGAATTCATTTTTTCAGTTTGCTCTTCGATTATTTTTGGGTTTTAGCGTTTTGAATGAACATGAAAGCTTGACATTGCAAAAGCCCATCATTAATCAGTCTAGGACTAAGTGGATTCAGTATGTGATGAACATTACTTTTCCATAGAACAGTAAAAATTAAGTAGCGAAATAAATCGTTTTATTTATAAGATAGTTAGCTGTTTAGCTGATAACAGTACGATGTTGAATAGTTTTTAAGCGTGCCCATTTTTTCATATGAGAAGTTGCTTCACATGAAAAAGCCATGTTTTAGCGAGTTGTGTTTTTCGAAACTCTTCTAAATACTTGGTTGACAGCAAAGCAAATAAAATAAAACCGAGTAACTGCGATGAATATGATAGAAAGTAGGCAATAATTGGTGCATGCCGTTGCCATGCTGCTGAGAGTGCACACCAGAAATGTTTACGGGTTGGCCCGTTTTTACACGTAGCTCGCAGGTTGATCCGTTCACAACTTTGCCTGTCATTTCTTTTCATTCTTCATTCTTTTGTTCCACAGATAGTTACGCTCAACATTTATTCTATTTCTTCGTTCCTCTACTATTTTAGGTGTTTTTATTACTTCCTTGGTTCGTCAACATCTGGAGTCTTTCGTCCATTATCCTCACTACATCTTCATTCTAGTCATTCACCCACTTGTTTCGAAGCATGTACTAAGAACAGACGATTCCAATCCCAACAAAATTATGTTGCAGATTCCGACACGATTCGATTTTGATAGTCAAACATTTTGGAATTGGCGACATTTTCATAAAAGATTAATTGCTTTTTTCTCTGCATCTTAACAAACAGTTAAACTAGCGATTTAGAAACATATATAAATAAAGATTTGATAAACAGCAAAAGAAGATACTTCCAGCTCTGTTTAGCATCAAATATGTTTAATTTAAAGGTTAGCGTGAATAGTTCATAATTACTTGTTAATCACAGAATAAGTCATTTCAAATTGGAATCAGAACTGATGATTCTGATCCTCATCGCAAAAAATTTCATATTGCCGATTCTGATGCCAAAATAAGTTAGCTTTACCGATTCCTAGCGCGTACACGTGTATGTGCGTGTTTATTTTTTCAAGGTTGATAATAGAAACACAAGATAAGATCGACATTTTTTCCGAATAAGTTGTGCAATAAAAGGTTCATTTCGTCTTATGCATATCGGTCTTCACTTCACACCTTAACCAACCCATGAGTGATTTTTTAAAACAACTTCTGTTGTCAAAATTCACGTTTCTAATATTTGTGTTAACCCGCGGGTCAAGAAAAAAAAAATATTCAACCTGTGAGACGGACCGGGTTCTATCCCAACCGGGTTGGGTCAAAAAAACACCTATCATGAACGTCTCTGGTGCGTACTTAATATTGAAACAAATTCGAAAAACTTTTTCTGATGCAAAATAGGCTTAAAATACTCTCCATTAGATGTGATAATGTCGAAATTGATGTTCAAGAATATTTCCATGGATTATCTTTCTTGGTTGCAAAGGATGTAAAATATAAAAACTAAATTCATGATTGTATGTCTATTTAAAAATTTTGTCAGTGTATTTTAAGTAAAAATATAATTCATGTATCATCTGTCTTCTTTTATTTTTGTATTCAACAAAGAATAAAAAGTCTAGATTTTCTTTCATTTAACGGAGTAAATTGATAGAAAATGCAACATTGAAAAATCTTTTAATTGTCATTCTATATCGAATATGTTCGATATGTTGATTTTCGATGTTTTGCAATGTTACACTAAAAACAGCATTTGAAAATTAGTTTTTTTTTCTAACACTGAAGCAGTTATTCGTAATAGAAGTTTTTGGTAGATATGTATTCAATAGTATATTCGATACTCTATAATGTACAGAGAATAAATATTCTGAAGTCAACTAATTTCTAGAAATTCAAATCAGATTCTTTACATACACGAATCTTCCAAGTTATTAGAGTAAAGTCATAACAGAGAAATGTCTATGTAGTAAATAAATATGATGAATATGTTTATACTGTATTAAAATTTAGAATATAATTATTTTGTATAATTAATTGATATTAAAATAAAAAACAACTTTGAAGTTTAAGAAGTTTTACTAAATTTTTACATTAAAAAGAAAATCGACAAAAAGATGAAAGTCAGTAAAATAATAGTAGCGGGTTTCGAGGATAGATAATCCTTTGAAATTGAATAGTATTAATTTTTTGATTCTTCTTTATTAACAGAATACTGTATTTTACCAGAGAGTCCTTGTATTTTGATCCATGCTTTATATAATTCATTTTCCAAGGTTGTTGTGAAAGGAATCATTATATCTGTATAGTAATAATTGACCGGTTTCTTTGATTTTAGTTGTCCTATTTCATTTGCTACATAATGTATGATCTTCGATTTACTATTGATATCAATCTTTTCATTTAAAGCTAATTCTGTCAATATTTTTAATATTTCATAAGCTTTAATAGCACTTTCATTTTTTAATGACTCTAATAAATCATCGACAAATTCGCTGGGTGATAAATGTATTAAAGGAACTCCAATTGCAAAATATTTTTTCACTACATTCTCATCAAGTAATGTGTTCAAGGCATTTATGATTACTCGATGATCGGGTTGATCCATTGCTGCAAGTAATATAAAAGCATTTCCTCTTGCTGTAAAACATGGATGATTATTAAGTGCTTTTTCTAAAAGTGTAACCATTTGAATTTTATTAAAATTTGGAGCATTGATTATTTTTCTATACAAATAATCTTCCTTTTGAACACAGGCAGAAACCAAAGATAGTAAAGACTCACACATCATCAATGAAAGCCATGTATCATCATAACCTTTAAAATTTCTCAGCTTTTTTAATAACCATGTTACTAAATTTTCCATAAGAGTGATATTTATTGAAATATTAGCAAGCATATTTAATACTGTTTGATTTACGTCATTAGAGAGGTACAAGTTACAGCGACCTATATGTTTGATTTCGTTATAACTATTTCGTGAGAGATTCTCAAAATTGACGGATATTTCTCGAATCAATTTTGATTCAATAATTTCGAAATATGTATCATCATTAATATTTGTTAATGCAAAAATATTATCGATTATAAATTCTATTCTTTCTACATCGGTATTTACGAAGAAAAGTCTTTCTTTAAACTGACTTGTGTCTGTAACTGATAGTAGTCTTGACAATTCGATCCAGTTTTCTTGTTCAATTTGGTCATTCTGTGTTAATATCATCGCTGAATAAAGTAGATCTTTCACTGATGATGGATTAAGCGATGATTGTAATGTTTGCATTATTGAATTCCAAGTATAATCATTTATGAAATGAATTCTATTTAAAAACTGCATTCTTCGTTCATTGACAGAGATTTTCTCTTCTAATTGATTTACATGTTGATTTAAGTGTTGAAAAACTCTAGGATCATCTCATAGTAAGTCATAGAAAAAACTAGCAATATAAGCCCGAATTTGTGGAAGATGTTCTTTTGCTAGTGCATGTTCAAGAATTTTTATTAATGTCTTTTCTCCTATTACAGATATTCTCTTACTCGGTTCTTTGACCTCTCTTTCTGGATGTTGAAAAATTCGTTGAGCTCTGTATCTCATTTGATCATTATCACTTGTTAGTAAATCAACAATTGTATCGATCGCTGGTTCAAAAACATGTTTTGCTTCTACAAGTAGAATAGCTGATAAATTTTTAATTTGATTGTTATTATGTTGAGTAAACCATTTCTGAACAATTGGTAATACTTCATTGGATGGTTTGATAATGTAGGGAAAAAGTATTGAAATACTATCTTGTTTTCCTTTTTGTAACAGTTCATCAATAATTATAGCTATTTGTGGAGTTAAAAATATTTCATTATGTAAACCAATATTTAGTATCTTTTCAATATTTGATTGATTATCAGTATCTTTGAAAAGATTAATCCATAATTGATCTATGGTCTCTGTTTTATCAATAACTATTTTTGTGTCATTCAATTGTGCAAAGAGTAGAAATAAAGCTTGAAGTTTATTATTATTTGGAATATCTGCAGTTTGTTTGTTATTATCTCTGTTTTCTAAATTTTGACTTATATCTAAACTTAAATTTGAAGAACGAAGATTGAATGTTTCAGTACATAATATTCTTCCATAGTAAGAATTGACAAAATAATAATGCATTTTATTTTTGAGACTCTCTATAATGTCATTTAGCTTAATTTGAAGGTCATCATAAATACTAATTAAAGATTTTAATTTAATAGTTAGTTTAATTTTGTCATCATCTTCATCCATTGTAGTAAGCATTTCTACAGCATTCGTTAAATACTTTTTTCGAAAATTTCCTGATCCATAATATGATAATCTTATCGATGCAATAATTCGATTATAAGGATTTTCAATATTGTCAAACGTTGAAATTAACTCATCGACTATTTGTTTGATGAATAATTTCTGTTCTACTATTTTATAATGAATAATACAAAAAATCTTTTCCAAAACTTGAAACTTTAATATTGGTTCTTGAATATTTTTTGATAATGTAAAAGATTCATTTAATAGTTCATGACATTTTTCATCATAAAATTCAGCTAATTGATATAGTGCTCTTGATTTATAGTATGGATTGCACATTGTTTGAATTTTTTCAAATAAAAAATCTTTTACATCTGATTTTTCAAGCAATTCAGGCAGTAAATTCTGAAAGATCTTAAATCTATTCAAGTCTTTGGACATAATTCCGAAATGTAACAGTATAACTAATGGAATTAATTCAGGATTTTTATTGAAATATCCTTCTTTAAAGAACACATTAAAAACAGTATCTACTAGATACGGTACGTTAGTATTGATGTTCTCTAAACAATTGAAGAATGCTATCGGTATTTCATCGTTACTATTTGATTTAAAAGTAAATAAATCTGTTGCCCATGGATATGCTCGAATTGGTCTGTTAATCTGAATAGCATTACCGATTTTTAAAAATGAATTTATAATTTGATCAGCTTTAATTAAAGAAATACATGTATCACATAATCCAGCGATTCTATATCGAAAATCATCCGTAGCACCAGTGAACTGAAATGCAAGATATTCTGCATATAAACTGTATTTATCTTCAACATTTTTTACTGTTTCAGCTAATATCTTAGTGTCAATAGGTAACCCTCCAGCATTGGCTATTAATGATAAATATATAGTACAATAATTCAAAAAGTTTACAGTATATTTGCACGGATTCACTGTCATATCATTATAAATTTCAAGTAAATATTGACCAATATGTGAAGACCATCTGGCTATTGGATCTTTCAAAACATCAATAAGTTGTTGTATTCTGTTTCTAAAGCTTTTTATAAACATTTCGTCTCTTTCATTTATAACAGCATTTATGAAATCGAAATCTCCTAGAGCAAGCAATGCAATTAATATTTCTGTGTTTTCACTCATATTTAAATTTTTATTGTTTATTTGTTTTCGCAATTCTTCTGTTAGTTCTGTTGTAGATTTGTTTTCGTGAAGTAGTTCGAGGATTTTATTTGTTAGAAATGATTCTTTGTAGATTTCATTCTTATTAAATATTGGTTCTAACTTCCAATGGTCTTTAGGCGCAAATGTATCAAGATGTACAGCCATGTTATAGGCTGCGTCATCTCTACCCCAAATTTCTTGATAATAAAAAATAAATGGTGCCCTTTCATTATCACCTAATCCAAGAAATTGACAGATTTCATAATATTCCGATATTGTTGCTTGAATATTATAATTTTTATATCCTCCATAAAGAGCTGTAATTAGACATAGCCAAGCATTATGATTTTCAATATAGGTGATCATTTCTGGATTTTTATTTATTGCATCTTGAAATTTTAATTGAGTTCGAACTGCTTTATCATTAATTTCATTTGCATAGAATTGTAAGACTGTATCGATGGGCCAATTCCAAACGACAGAATCATTGTGTAAATTTTTTAGAAATATTTCATGAAATATTGGATGATACCATTTAAGTTGATAAATAATGTTGGCACATACAGCAACATTGTCTTCATGATTGATATTTTCAATAAACCATTCTTCACATTTGTTATCATATTTATTTTTCAATTTCATGAAATATGATTGAATTAATTCTTGATGTTCTTTCAATCTTGAGAAACCAGACATATTCTTATAATCTAACAATAGCATATTTGCTAATTTTCGAATCAATTCAGTTTCTGTGTCTTTAGACGAAAAGTACATATCATTTAATGAATCAATGATGACAAATGGTACTAGAAATGTAGAAGATTGTGTATTTGATGAAGTTTGTTCATATTTTAACAATTTTATAACAATATTGTTAAATAATAGATTATGTTCAGCTGATTTACTTAATATTCCAAATGTCATACTAAGAGGAACTCTCCAATTAGGAATACCAATTTTGTTTTGAATACTTCGATAAATCATATCTTCAGATCGTTCAATACCATAAGAATAGATAATACTTTTAGCTGCAAGATATTCTTGAAATGTACGATGTATAAATCGAAAACTATTATAACCAAATTCATTGAGTAAACCAGCTTGGTATTTGAAAATATCCACAAGCTTTGAGATTAAATCATTAGTGTTTGTTTTGGGTTTCGTTGATGATTGTTGTTCATAATCTGTTAAATATTTTCTTATTATTTCTTTTAAAATATTCTCTGATAATCCTTCAACTTTACTATGTAGATATTCAGCTATTTCTTGTAATATCGACCAAAGCATAGTAGTATTTAGTCCAAACTCTTTACTTAGATTATTTGTTGGAGAATCGATATTCGAAGTTACTAAACGTTCTATCATCTTTTCAATAGCTTTTTCATATAGATCAATTCTTTTCTCAGGTAATTTGTCTTCGTATTGATTATAAACTGCAGCAATTACACTAGCTAATTGTGGATTAATTGCCAAATGAAAAATATCTTTGTTTTGCGTTATATCATTGTATAATTGATTAGAATCATATTCTTTACTAATTTTGCCTGAATTAATCGAAATATCTTTCATACAGTTTATATATGAACTGCAAAATAATTTAAGAGCATCATTAGACATATCTTCAATAGTTAATCTTGGAATATAAAAATTGATATCTTCAAAATAATTTCCTTCGATACGACTTGTTATAATGAATCGATTTCCAATATTAGGATCTTTAATATTATTGATTTCCTTTTGTTCATGAATTGAATAAGTAAGTTTATCATATATAATGTCATAATCTATTCCTCGTTCTAATAATGTATTTATTTCTTTCATTAAATCAGATCGATCCACATGAGCAGGAACTTCATCCAATCCTTCGAAAATAACTAAAACATTTCCTTTCAATAATAATTCAATAATTAAAGTTGATAATTCTTTTCGTTCATCATGATTGAAAAATGTTGAATCGAAAGTAGGATTTTCATAAATAAATTGAAGTAAAGTCTTTTTTCGTTGATTTCGATTTTCTTTTAGTTGATCAACATATTTCCATATTGGAATAAGAATTGGTATTTTATTTTTCGTAGAATAATTACTTTCAAATAACATATTTTTCTCACCTAGGCACTGCTTAGCCATATTCATTACTAACCATTTTGATAAAGTGGTCTTACCTGAACCAGGATGACCTAATATTAAAAAATGTTTAAACTTTTGATATACTTGTTGAATTTGATATTGTTTTGCTTCTTTCAGACTATTGTTTTCTAAAATACTTCGTTTTAATCGATTCACTTTATTTTTAATAGTAGTTGCTTCATTTTCAGTAAATATATTTCTGTTGCTTAAAAGTATGTTTAACCATTGTTCAATCATGAAATCTCGATAGATTGTTTCGGGGTTGTATGCATTTTTTTCTATGATAGCTCTATGTAGTTGTCTTCTTTGAGTCTCATTGAAAAAAGTTGGAGATAGAAGTTTACGCTTAAATTCTTCATAAATTTCAAGCATTTTCATGGCTTTAATCGATGGATGTGTTGGATCAAATTTTAATTCTACATAAACACTTTCCAAAGGTAAACTCATATTAGTATTAGAATATCCAAAAATTGATACATGCCCATATTCATTGATAAGATAGTTCAAATATTTTTTGAAAATATTCTCTTTTTTGTCTGTAAATGATAAACTTTCACGTATAATTGCTGTAAATGATTGAAGACTTTTTATAAAATGTAATAAATCTTGTGAATTATCACCATATTGAATTTCTCTAATATTTTCCAAAAATGAAATATCTGATTTTTTATTAAATGTTTTATTTTTATTGGATATAACAAGTTTATAAATTGACAATGGTTTCTCACCTGCTAAATGAAATATCCATTTTAATAAATTTGAAAAATTTGGATCAGACATTCCGGCACCATATCCTATGAATAATAAAGTTTTTGTTTCTATAAGTGCTCTCAATTGTGACTGTTTAAATTCATTTTTCAGGAGTTCATTATAATCATCGTTACTGAAGATTACGCTATCTGGATCTTTAAAATATCCATACACATGTAGAATATAATTATTCAAATTCTCCAACGAAATGCCTATACCATCAGTATCATTTGTATTCCAAGTTAATGGTTTCTTATTAAGTATGTCTTCGAGAAATGAGTCATAATTAGTTGTCAGAATAGGACATCCTAATTCTCCGATAGCTTTAATAAGTTCCGGTCTTTTAGCTGACAAGTTTCCCAGTGTTTCTCTTAACCAGGATTTATAAAGATCATCTTTCGTCGCATGATTTTGCATTTTGAAGTAATACTTAATTCGGTCAGCAGCATGCAAATAGTCCTCAACTTCAGCTGTGTCACTGTCGAACTTAATATTGAAATCCTCGAATTCGTTATCACTGATCCATCCTAATTGGTGACATTGTTGCAATCCGTGTTTTAATAATCCTTTAAAATGAGCAACTTCTTGTCCATCGTTTGCTGTGTAAGTAGACACACCTGAACCAATAAATATCACCGCATGATTTAAAGCTATGTCCTTTTTAACTTTTTGAATTTCATCAGCCATTTGTTAAGTTTATCGTTTTAAATTTATCTACAATGTATTTAGCATAAATTTAAACAATATTCAGTTTAAAACATTCTTTATACTAGATGAATTTAATCTATTTAAAAGAAAGTAAAATAAATTTAAGTTTTAATGGCAGTTATACATGTGCTTATGATTGAGCTAAAATATATCTCAATAGAGAAGAAGAATGCATACACAACAGTGATGTAGCTGACTACGTAGTAATGCAATTAAACTCGATATTATTCAGTAGATCAAGATAATCAACAAATGTTTTTCACTGACATTAATAGAGTTTGCTTTTTTTCTGGTTTAAATGATTTATTTCTGAAGATGCATATTCTTTTGATGTCATGAAACAACACTGACGGAATAAGAACTGGTTCGAAAGCATAGTTACTTTTATACAGAAGACTATATTTTTTACGCCGTTCTGTACGTTTTTTGTTTTTTTTATTTAGTGGAACAGTTTGTAAATCGATCATTTCAATTGAGAAGATCTACATACGTATATCTTCGAGACTAACGTATAGGACTAAGAAAAATATCTATGTATATTGTAGGATCCGATCCACAAACATATTGAATAAATATTCAATAAGTCTGCTTTTTTTTCTTTCAAAAAGCCTACAGATAAGATCGGAGACAGGATGAAAAAAGTAGTCTGTTATCAGGTATGGTGTAGTTGCCCTCATTTTTCAGTCTTAAGAGCATCTTTTGTTATATAATCGCCTTTACAAACTACCCAGACAAATAATAATAAAAAAACAGCAAATTTAGCAAGTTTCTGGTTTGGGGATACATTCAATCTAAAAACTGAGTGTGTGAAAATGCATTCATATCATTTAAAAAATATGGAAAAAAATGTTTGTTCGAAATGTTTAACGTGTTTTAAATCTGACAGAATGCGTGCTTTTTACGATTTAATTTTTTTGAAAATTTCGACATTTGTCAAATTCTTAGGATTTGGCATATACTCGGTTTTGCTTTTAATTTCTAATAACACAGTTTAACAACTGATCCGGTTAATATACATTCGTTTCTTCATGGCAATTGGTGAACATTTATCATAGATACATGTAAAGTCGATAATTGAATTATGAATTTTATATTTAATGCAGCTCTACATGCTTACAGGTTCGTGTTTGAGTACGATCTTCTTAATAAAAACCTGGCTATGATGATAGGCAGAAGAACAAGTAATGAAGAATAGACATATATGTATTTATGACCAAGTTGGAAAATTCCAATTGAATCATAAACTAGTATGCTTGAAAAATCCCATATAGGACTATCATAAGATGGTTCAACAAATCAACGATACGATAAATGGATATTTCTAACACTGTTCTTGCTTGAAAACTCAATATCTGAATAGAAGAGTAGTAAGAAGTAACAAAAAGTTTTCATCATGTACAAAACAAATATCTGTTCTGTTGCTTCGAACACTCACCGGTCTAGATTTTCTTTGCACAAGAGCACAACATGCGTCAGAAGAAACATCTAATGTGATTGTAAGTCTTTCTGATCGAAACCGAAGCAGCATTTTCTTCTTCCTTTCACAATATTTTCATGCAATAAAAACTTTTTCTTTCTTTGAAAAGAATAATTGTTGACGCTGGTAACTTTTTATTTTCCAACCAATGTTTGGACAGAAGAAAAAAGTGTAGGTTGTGCGTCACATTCAACAGCATCTATCACACTTCTGTATGAAAAAAATGTATAAAATAACCTGATTCCATGTGGGTGCGAACTTGTGTTCTCTACACGCACACCCTAGCCGTTTACGATCGCGCTTTTTCAACCTGCGCAACAATCTGGCTTCAGACTAAGGGGATTTTCTTGCCGTTTAGATTCATGTAATTCTCAACGTGGTTGAAGTTAACAGCATATTCGAATAATTCCTGACGATATTCACTCATTAAGCGTTCCAAGTATTCTCAATTTCTGTTTCAAGTAGATTTTGGCATGTTATATCAAATGGTGAAAACTGATTGACAACACCTTAAACCATTCGAGCACAATTCCGAAAATACTGATGTTCCCCCATGAGCCCTAGGGAATCTGAGCAGTAAATCCTTCCCATATTCGCTCAGCAAGCGTTTTCGGTGTTCATATTTCTGTTTCAAGTAGAATTCAATGTGCTCTATCGAACGAAGAAAACGGATTGACGATAGCTTAAACCATTCCTACACCATTTCCAATGTAGTGATTTTTCCCCATGGACCTTAGTGAACCCGAAGAATGATTTCTGTCCATATTCGCGCAAGGAGCGTTTTAGGTGCTTTCGCTTCTGTTCCATGTAGAATTCGACGTGCGCTATCAAATCGTGAGATGAGATTCATGGTATCCTCTACGATTACTTTACAGAGTCAAAAAAGGGCGTGGGTGAGTGTCGGTGTATGGTTTTATTTTTACCAACAGCGACGACAGTCACATCCATACTCACACCCTAATGAGTCCCTAAATAGAGGTCATAAATTTCTCACTTTAATACGTTCCTACTTCAATAAATCCTTTTCGTTTGTAAGTCCATAAAGAATTCCCAACATTCCTATAAACCTTTGGAGAAGTAGGTGGATTTTTGTCAAGTGCTAAGGTAGTTTATTGTACAATGAATTGTTATAGTGTGCGTTAATCAATCCTTGATCGTAAAATAATGTACTCCTTTGATGACACAGTACAGTAATCTATCCTGAAAGTTATAATAATAAACGATTCTGTTGAGAGGATAGAATAATCTATCCATAGCCATGGAATAAAATACGTTTTCCTAAAATCGTTTAATAATATATCCCGAGATGCTGAACAATAAACCGTTTTATTGAATACGTACGTTAGTGTACCCTTTTTAGTTTAATAATGAACCCTTCCAATGAAAATATAGAATAAAAAACCCTTAGAAAAACGTCATATATCCTTTTCAAATTCATCTATTCTCAAGATCACAAACTGTTTGGCTCATGAATCCTTTAGGGGTATATGCCATCAGCATAGACCCTTCAAGAGTTTATGGTAAAATTTTTAAAAGGCAAGTCTTGATTAATGTGTGCTAATTTTTACAGTGTACACAACGTGAAAAGCAACTTCAAATTATGACACAAGATTCAGTTCAGTCTCCAACAGTATTGCAACAGAAGATTCACAACAAGCCTCCAAAAGAAATTCTGACACGTATGAAACACAGATACACATCCACTATCGTTCAACTATAACCAATACCTATTTAGACGTGAGATCAACAAAAAACGCTTTTCTTTCGCCAACCATTATATCATTGTATCTCTTTTTGAGAAAACTGAAAATAAATAGTTTCCTACAATAAATTATATACTTTCTATACAACATGAAACGAACTTCATGAACTGAAATGTATGAAGAATTCAACACGAAAGTCATCTTCAATCATAGAAAATCTACAGCTTCGACGCGTCAACGCTGGCAACCAACCAACCAGACGCTCCAGACCACATGCCGACAGTCGAAACGCGTCGTATGCTCCTCGAAAAGCACTGTTATAAACACACTTACACTCGCTTCTTTTCCTGACTTTGACTCCATGGAAAAATCATATATGAGCGGCGTTATAGTCTATTTCACATTGTTGATCTAATTGCAATCGTCAGTATTGCAGAAGTTGATTAAATTTGAACTTTTTTTTCGATGGGCTCTTGGTAAATATGACATTTCATTGAAATTTTTCAAGATAGGTTAAGTTAATGTCAGATTAGCTTTTTTTATTGGTTTATTTAGTTACAGAATCAATGAAAAAATATATCGGTACAAAATAAAAATTTTCAATTCTCGCACTTAACCAATATTGGCATCATTAAGACTCGTTAGTGTTGTGACAAATGTATACTGGTTTATATTTGAACTACCTTTGAAACTTGAATAAAACTTCTCAGTATTTGGTGGTATATATTCCATATAAATGTCTGTCATGGTTGTGGCAATTCGTCGTTGAACAAGTTTTTTTTTACTATTGTCACTTGTTGGGTTTGGTTCTGTTGTTGACGTAAATACTTGAACATAACCTTGGGTCATATTGACAGCAATTTCAACAAATCCGCCCAAACCTGAACGGAAACCTTTGAGGCTCATCTGATAAAATTGATATGTGTCCTTTTCTACTTCATTTTTATAAACAACACCAGGTTCATTAAATGCTGGAACATTGCACGCTATGAGTGTTATTTGATTGATGACTTGTGTTAATTGTAAATAGTTACTCAGCTGCAACACATATTTACTGTATGGTTGTGATGCACTAAGTTGTAATTCCTGAATATTGATACCGGATCCAATTCCAACAGAAAATACGACGGCTTGTGTTCTGTCTCTTAACAATTCACTTTCTGTTTTAACTAAGCTAGCACTATTACTGTGGCCATCAGTGAACAGAACCACTGCGCGTGGTACTAGTTCTTCTGAATTTCGACATGCCGCGTCGCACACACTTCTTGCTCGTTGAATTGCTTCGCCGGTTGCTGTTCCGCCACCGTTATATTGCAATCCATTGACGACTTTAATGATTTGGTCTTTCATTTGATTACTTCCAACTTTGTTGAATATATAGGAATTTTCAACAGTCGACGAATACCGGAGTAAGCTGACATGTACTTTATGTGGTCCAACGTTTAATCGACTAATTAAATCAGCCACTGCCGTTTTAGCTTGCGCAAAGGAAGCGCTTCCAATACTGCCAGAGCCATCAAGAAGAATAATTAAATCCAGCACTGTCTGACATGTTGTTTGTGAATTAATTTGTTGACCACTATTCAAAATGATCAACAATGTAAGAATATAGTTCTTGAAAAACATTTTTGTATGAATTTTATATGGGCATGATTTCGAACGTTTTATACCAATTTATTAACTTATCAAAGTCACGAGCTTTCCAGAAATATAGAACGAAAATTTACGTCTATGAATTTATCTTTTTTTTCCAACAAGAATAAACTATTGTTGTTGCTAGATAAAGACGATTGCAATCTTTTTTCTGAGCATGACATGTTCGTCTCTTTCTGTTTTGTGTGTTTGAGCGCAAACATGCGCTTCACTTTATCAGCATACTTTCACCTAAAAATCTATGAATTTTAAGCCTGAAATTGTTTACGAAGCGTGAGTAGAAAAGTGAATGAGAGCCGTATTTGAAATGCTATCTGATAACAACAATCTTCCTTTATCGTTCTTAAAATAAAACAGAATACTTCGAGTGATGTCTCTTCCTTCTGAACTTCCGAAAAAAACTTCACTAAGAAAGGAAATTCGTATCACGGCGGTGTAGTCGTGTACACACTTACAGTGGGTTTAGGTTTGATTGTGGGTGACTGTTGATGCGAACGTGACTATCTGTGAAATGAATGCCCACATCGACACCCCACAATTTCATTATTCTCTGGTAGATGTAACTTATTTTGCAAAACACAATCTGAAAGGTAATTGCAGTGTGTACGAGAAGAAATTTGGACTCACTCCCCTCGCCTCTCACAGGCCGCGACAGGCAGTGTAATAACCATCATATACCATGACGGACAGCTTAAAAGCCCGTGGCAGAGATACGGATGGGGGGGGGGGCTAGGATGTAGGCATGTGATTGTGGGTTTGTTTAAGGATCTTCTGTTCATCCACACCCTTTTTTGCATTATGTTTATTGTTTTTATTTTGTTAGAAAAGTTGGTTCACATCTAAAATGAAAGGATATCATCATCGACGTCCACAGACTGAAGGTAAGCTATCGGTAAACATCTGACTTCAACTTAAAGTAAAAGAAAATGCAGTAATAATTTATTATTTATTTATTTATTCATGTCAATTATTTATATAACATGTAGAATTTTCGACCAGTGTCTGTTGGAACCAGCTAGTAAATTCGGTCAT